AAATATGGAAAACCAATATCAGTACCACCTCTAAAGTACTGTGAGGATCTATGGGGGTCCATGTGAGCTAGTATATTGGGGACAAGATGCCAGCAGAATAAGACCTTATAATTAATCTCGTAGGTGCTAACATTTTGAGAGCAGGATTGTTGAGGCTCCAAAATGAACCCAAGGTCCATTAACCAAGCGTGCATGTATTTATGGGAAAGTGGAGATGAGGAAGAAAGTAAAGCTCCATAAAGTAGGGAGATCACTCCTTTGCAGTGCGGCAGGTCTTCACATATACACTCAAAAGTGGTGCGTGTGGCGGCTGAAGGGTATCTCTGGACCAGTGAAGTGACAATGTTTCACCTGTAAAAAGCAAAAGATGTCAGAATTCGATAGGTGAAGACGCTTCTGTGAAAGTGGGAAAGGGAGCTTTTTAATCTGAAATTCCATTTAAGTACCTGAATCTTTCTGGATATTAGTCTTTGACATCCTTGCACAGCAGTGCTTGGATTGGGAGGGTGTGGCAGCACTAGGATCTAATCCGGCTCTGCTGTACGCATGTATGTTGAAAAGGAAGATGCTGTACATGGGACTGCAAGAGGCTGATGCCAAGTCAAATGTATGTATTTTTACTGCTTACATATTAAACAAATCTATTTAAAGTGCAACTAAAGCCAAATCTTTTTTTTTTAAATTTTTTGGATGGAGTGGAAAGAGATTTGAACACGTCAGGATTTTATAGCTGTCTGTGCCCCTGTTATAGAGATTCACCCTCTCTATTTGTCCTGGGGACCGCTCTCACTGAAAGTAAAAGAAAACACAAATTTTGGCTTGTCACTAGATCATGAATAGATGGGAAATCCTCCAATGGGGATACTAATTCTGCTGACCCTGTTGACCACCTGGGATTTTCCTCTCTTTGGCGGAATTTCATTCCCCTTCCTGTTGTGCCTATCCAACCGGTAATGAAGAGAAATCTCCCTAATGGCACACCGATGGCAAGAAAAGCTACAAGGGATTATAACCCTCCCTTACTCTTTCCAAAAGTAAAAACAAAGTGTTGCCTTCAGTTCATCTTTAGAGAAGTGTTAATGAATACAGAGCTACATCAGATTTGTATATTTTCTATCCGCCTGGAGCTCAACTTTTACTATAAAAAAGAAAGTGCTGTCATCCTCCTGGCTGTTCTGCCAGGCAGAAGTGTATAAAATACAAAGTGGGTGAACGGCATTAGACATCCTTTGGCAGATAAGATTATTACCATGTGTATTTAAAGGAAAACTATGAGGTGAGTGAAAATCACTCATCCTCATAGTTCGAGCCGACATGTGATAATGAAACTGTTACACGTCGGCTCAATAGATCGGGAAGTGAGCAAACACATACCGCCGCTCGCTCAGTTCCCGACTTCTCCCTGCAGTGAGTGGTTACTGTCAGTCACGGCTCCCTGCAGGGATTCCTCCCGCTCCGATCCTTCAGCGCTGACTGGAGGAACGGACGGGGGAGGGGGCAGGTACAGCTGGCTCTGCCTTTAGATAGGCAGAGTCAGCTGTCATTCACGCAGCTGGGGGGATCTCAACAGTATTGTCGGGATCCGTCCCGGCTGTGGCGTTCTCGGTATACCACGAGCTGTAGCTCGCTATAGTTCGCCATATACTGAGCTATGTTCCCAAATATCCACTTTTCATAGTCTTGTACTTTTTTTTTTTTTTTAAACCCTTTCTGTAAAAAGGGATTGTCCATATACTTCCAACAACAGGCACATGTGCAGAATTGTTTTATTGTTTTGTCACCCATCCGTTTTACAGTCAAAGCTGAGTCATGAAAAAAAACACTTGACTCCCATAATGCAGTGGGCTGTCCTTTTGCGTGAACTCTGAGCCAAATCATTGTGATAATGATCAAGGCCAGTCCTCATAAAGAAAGAAAATGTGTTGTTAAGTGATAAAGCCAGCTAAAAACAGAAGCTTTGCATTTGAGCAATGCATTTCATATGATTCAGGTCGCAGTTGCAGTTCAAATGAGTCTAATATTCAAAATAATACTATAGAAAAGCTTCACGGCCACTAGCAAGTTTGAACATTACGTTCCTTCTGTGCTGCTATTCTAGTTTTCATTAGAACGGCGGAGCCTAACAGTACGGCATCAAGGACATTTGAAAACTGTCAATGTACTGTTATTTAAGCTGGAACCAATATCCAGACATATTAATAAAAGCCCTATCAAATGTTATCAACAAAGGCAGATTACATAATCTGTTGTGTTCTGTACCGTGTATATTACATTTAAAGCAAATTGGTACAGACTGGGAAAGAAACCATCCCAAAATTGTATTCTGATAATGTCTTATGAGAAGCTATTTAATGGCGTGGTACAAGAAGTGTGAGAACGATGAATACTAAAGACGTTTGATGTGTCGTGTTATCAGTGAAGCGTACAGCCTACTGCAATATCAATCAAAGTGTGCCTATTCATATTCCCTTATCGCGCAGAGGACAAAACTATCTACCGTGGCCAGCAACAGGGCTGAAACGGCACTTTAAGGTTCATTTAGCCATGTTCTGCTCTCTGCTGGGAACCAAATACAGGAGCATCTAGTTTGAAAATGAAAAGACTTTAATGAGTCTGAGGCCTTTGAGGTTGGTATCCTTGGCAGCAGATAGCAATGGGGGGTTTGCCGAAGGTCAAAAGTTTCTCTTTTAAGGGGTCAGACGAACATCCCGTTCTGATAAGATTAAAGCAGTGTGGCTTTGGGGAGAATGTTTTAAGTCGCACAGTGCTAAAAAAAAATCTTTAGGCCATGAAGTGCAAGTCGATGCAGAGTGACAGCAAATTGACAAGAACAAGTGTATGTTCAACACACATACTGAGCAATACACACAGTAAACTCTCTGTTATTCGGAATTCAACTAACTAGAACTCTTAACTAACCAGAAAAAAAATCCCCTGTTTGCGGCATGTATTATTCTGGAAACGATAGTGTGCCTATTTGCCTTAATTTGCTTTTGATTACGGTATTTCAATATTAATATGAAGTCAATAGATAGTTTGCTATAGTATAATATGGGGTATGGCATTAGTTAGACCTATTTTTAAAAGGTAGAGAGAAAGAGAATTAAAGTGATATTAAGCCTTTCTTTTTTTTTTATATTTGTTATAAGGAGACCCACTTTTACCTGAGCCTGTTCTTTTTTTTTTTTTTACAAGTTTTAAATTCCTGGTTTTCAAGTGGGTCCCCGCAACGCTCTTCAACACCCCCGCAACCCACCCACCGCACGGGTGCCTCCATCGGCTAACGGAGGCACACGTGCGCGCTCGTGCCCTGCGTCCATAGACACACACAGCCCTGTGGCAGGCCACGCCCCTTCTCTCTTTGATGGCAGAAGGAACCTATGGCTCCTCTGCCGTCAGTATCCTCCCCCCTGCAACCAGGAAGTACAGGGAACGGAGGATCACTTCAGGACTGGCGGCGAGGACAAGCGTCGCTGACGGGTAAGTGTGGAGGGGACTAGGGGAGAGAAAGGCTATGGGCGGTTTTTACCTGATTGTATTAAGGTAAAAAACGCCCAGACCTTAATACTACTTTTAAGTGTTTTTTTTATATAAAAGTTTACAAAGGCTCCTTATTTGTGGCCACTTGTATATTAGGAAATGTAAACAGCACCACGACTCAAAGTCTGCTTGTTTAGGTGGAACAAAATTTGCCCTGTAGGTTGCCCTGCTGCCTGACGTTCTTCAATATAGTGCGGTCAGGAAAAATAGTGCATGCAGCATTTTTTTCGGACCCCACTGGAACTCAGGCATTGATCGCACTGTGGCCATGGTACTAATTACTTCAGTGCACCGTCATGCCCCCTCCCGCCTCAGAACACATTGAGCCAGCCGGTATGCGATCCAGTGCATTCCAGCACCAAATCAGGCCGAATGCTCTGAGGCTGGTATGAACTAGCCCTAAAAGGCTCCTGCAAGAACCTCCATCATATGTTTGCACCTGATGTCCACATAAGGCTTTAAATTCTGCTCCGACGTAACCTAAAAAGTCAGGGTTCTGCAACATGTTCGGCAGATATGCCACTTAACCTGCAGAAGGCTTGAACAATTTTGTTATCGAGTTAATATTTTAGGGTCTGTGACCCAACATAGTACAGGCTTTTAGACAATATATTTCTTTATCAACCATTGAGAGACACAAGAATTGTTAGAATTCTTACAATGTTATTTCTTCTGTAGGCGGCTGTTGAACCTGATAGTCTAAGAATTCTGGTGTCCCACAATGGACTTCAAGAAAAGGATTAGACTGTAAATACAAAAAATCTATCTTAATTTATTTTTTGGTCCATTAAAAGACAAAGGAGTTGTTAGCATTCTAAAGGTGGCCATACACTTTACAACCATCGCAAGACGTTAGTCTTGCGATGGTTGTAAAGTGATTAAAAAAATTTACAAACTGCCCATCTTGGACAGGCAGATCGTACTTGCGATCATCGCAAGCCCGCCCCCCTGAGGGATGGGCTTCTGATGACCGCAATGCTGAACGTGCAGTGTGCGCGTGCGGCATTTGTCTCCCGAGCATCATTCAAATCGTACGATTTTCGGCTGGTTTTCTAGCATGCTCCTTAGACAAAAGACGTGCGACCATACAGTAGAAACGTTCGCACGTCTTCATTCACACTGCACGATTCTCGTATGATCGCGGGATTTCCCGCGATTCTCATACGAGAATCATGCAGTGCATGGGCACCTTTACACTGTCTGGTTATACTGCCACCTACAGGAAAGATCAGCTGTGTAACAAACACTCCTAAGAACTCCTAGCTCCCTCTGTAGACTCCAAGAAAAGGATTTTTTATTGAGTACAAAAATCCAATTTTTTGACTGGTCTGAAATCAATTGTCATATTTAACACAAGTTTAGTAGTATTTAGTACAAGTAATATTATGTTTACACCTGGAATTTTTATGTAGAATTGCTGTTATTTTTATATACTTATAACTTTGTCATTATTTTTTCAGTTCTCAGACTATTTTACTGGATATTTCAATGGACAATACTGGCTTTGGTGGATATTCCTTGTACTTGGTGAGTATTCATGCAGCTGACTGATGAGTGTCATTTTAACCCTTTAGAATGAAAAGCTGCACAAAAAGTAAATACACAGCTGTCATAAAATAGGTTTTCACCTGTCAAAGGATGCGTAGTTAAGTTCAGCCAATCTTGGCTATCACACAGCTTTGCTACACTGCACAGCCAGGAAGAACACTAAGGTTATCCTGGTTAAGCTTTTATTAGCTTTCTTAGACCGCTGCATGGTTGATCATGCTGATGCATTGTCCTGTGAACAGGATAGAGGCATGAAAGTGGCACAGAGAACTGGCACATTACGTTGGATGCAGAATAGTACCTATTTTAATTTAATTAAATAGGTTTAAATTTAATTAAATTTTTTTTTTCTGGTGGCATTATACCAGAAAAGCAATAAAACACTGCTTATAGGGTGCATTGCTGCATCTTTTTGACAGTCAATGTGAAAACTGAGGCATCACTTGCACACTATCTCCAAGAAACCTCTCCTTGCAGTTGGGCTACCCCCGCAAGGCAAGCATTAACTGCTCGTTTATGTCTAGGGAACCGATGTAATGCAGTTTTACTTACCCGATTCCTGCTCCCATGGGCTCCAAGACTGGTGCCTGCAACAGCAGAAGATCAGCAGCGCTGAGATACAAAAAAAGGGGGGGGGGGAAACGGTATTTTATGGAACAAAACTTACAATTGCTTGATGCACGGAGCTTTAGAAAACTAAATGTCACCCAGTTAGGGTTTAGATCTACTTTAAGGTATCCATACACAGGTAATCATCACTTGACCACTATATTGCAATTCCCAGTGTAGCAGTAAAGCCGGGTATACACGCTTATATTTTGTTCATTTTACCTGTGGGCTGAATGAAGAAAATATACCACATTCCTCCAGCCATGCTGAACAGCGTGGATGGACGAATCCCACACCGTTTACATTGTATTCTGACAGTGGCCGCCGGGCAGCAAGTACAACTCCTGTTGAATCGGCCGAAGTGTGTGGGTGCGTGCGTGCACCCGGCTTAATAGAAAACATGGTGAAAAGAGCAATTAACCAATCACATGAGCAGAATATGATATTCCTGGGGGTGCTCTGTACAATGATGAAAGGTCTCCGAACTTGCTACATAATTCTTGCTGGTGACATTGTCTTATTATATAAACCCACATGGGCTTTATTTGAATATACTAAATGAATAATCTGTAGCACCCAATCAGAATTTACTGTTAATTGGCTCAACTACACTAAACTGCTTCAAACTTATTAGGCGTGATTGCAGATAATTGTTTTTGTACTAAGATATTAAATACAGGCATGACTGTTAAAGCAATAAAATATAATGAGATCTAAGGCAAGTTTAACTCTGTGTTAATTGCATTGGTTTATACCTGCTAGAGACCACGTCTAAATTCTGCATCACACGAGTGCTTTTCCTCAGCATGTATGCAGGAAACCTGGCTTGAGACTACCATTGCTGACTTGTCCTTCTGAAAATAATAATTGTTTGTCTGTCATGCTGACCCTCTGGCTTTATTACTTTAAGCCACTGACCTGGAACCAGAATGCAGATAAGGACTTGTATCCTTCCTGATCTGCAAACTTTCTGCGGGTTAACAAAAAATATTAAAGCAGGACTGGACAAATCCCAGGAGGCAGGTAGCCCATGCCTCCAAAAATTACAGCTGGTGCATAACTTTTAAGGTTTTCGTTAGTTGTCAATGGAGCTGGCTCCTGGAAAAAAAATCAGGTTGGTTATTTTATTAGACTCTGACTGGCTCCTGAATTCCATATTAATTTGTCCACCCTTGTATTGGATCCAGAAAGTCAACATAAGTCAGGTAGCTGGCATTTTCTGAAGGAGGGCAACACTGGCTGCCCCTGTAATTCTCTCATGACATGTTTACATTGAACGAAGAAGGAATTTCGTTCCCCCTTTTTTGCAGTGTAATTGCTTTTATGTTCATATCTTGAGTCTCAATGTGATTAGTATGCTACAGATGCAGGGAATGACTTATACTGTATAGTGCAGCGAGGAATAGAGCAGGCACAGAGGTCTTACAGAGGACACAGTGCATTGGGGGTATATTGATGCCCATAACATACTGTGTACAGCTGGTATCTGTTCTGACACTCTTCGCTTTATCAATGTGGTGATTGCTACTTGCGTTCTTCAATCAAAATGATGGATGAAGGCAGCCCGTCTAATACTTACTGTGGAAAAAAATAGATAAAATCTCTATAGCAGTCATAGTTCAGCAACAATAAAACATATTTATGAGAACTTTTATATGTTTTAAGCAAGTTATAAAATCTGCTTTTCCCAGGGAAAACGTACAGCATGCAATGAATTTTGAAATGCTTTTAAAATGAAAAATGAAATGTTTTTACCCGTATTATGCTACTTTAGCTTCTTTGTCAGAATATAAACTGTAGTATGAATTATGGTTTGGCTCCAGCCTTCTTGTCCGTAATGCATGATTTGGCATCTGGCTGCGGCACCATGCATTGCTGTTTTAATACAATAACCAGTTATAATTAGGGCACTAGTAATTATTCGACCCAATGCAAGCTTTATTTTTAGCTGGCTAGAGACAAAGGTTCAGTTTAATCCAACTGCTGGTTTTTGTGTAATAGGTCCTTATTAAGTATGCTTTAACAGGATCAGCAGATCACAAAGATAAATGTGCTAAATAGGTACCAAATTGGATGTTGAGATACTTTACATTTCCTGTATTAATGGCATATGTACAAAGAGACCAGCCAGAGTTCCTTAATGATCAGTAACATAGTTATGTGGTTGCTTTACATATCTTAAAATTAGGGCTGTGCAAATTAACGATTTAATTTCTCGATTAATCGTTAATCTTTTTGATCGATTAAAATGTTTTTGATCGATTTAATTTTTTTTTTTAACTCTCTGCACGAGCGCCAGCCAAGACATTGGCCTATACACATACAGCACAGCAATGGAGTCATACAATGAACTAGGATCACACTAATCCAGCACGTTATTATTCTGAGTTGCCCCACGTGAGATTAATAACGTGCTGGATTAGTGTGATCCTAGTTAATTTTATTACTTCATTGCTGTGCTTTATGTGTATAGGCCAATGTAGTTGGATCTGTATGTGCATTATAATTAATCGAAATTAATCAATTTAATCGATTTTAAAAAAAATTTGATTAATCGAACACAAAAATTTTAATCATTACCAGCCCTACTTAAAATAAACTTCCTGAACAAGCTTAACCACTTAAAGAATGGGGTGTTAAGCCCACTTCCTGTCCAGGCCATTTTTCAGTATTCAGTGCTGCAGTACTTTGACCTTTATTCCGCCATGCAACGCTGTACTGAAGTGAATTTTATACCATTTTTTTGGAGCAGATAGAGCTTTCTTGTTGTGGTATGTACTCACCACTGAGGTGTTTTTTTTTTTGTTTTTTTTACTGTATTAAGAAAATTTACTGAAAATGTTTAGAATTTTTTAAAAAATTATTACTCAAACATGTCAAGCCTTAAAATTGCGCACATCCCCAAAACCGCAAAAAGACTACAAACCCAAAAATTGGCTATAGGCAACTCTTTAAAAGCTTTTATCGCTCAACAGTTTAGTGTTATCAGTGATAAATGGCCCTAGAATTATTGCTCTCACTCTGACATTTGCGGTGATATGTAACATGTGCAGCGCAATTGTTGTTTTTGTGCTTACCACCAGTTGTGCTTACGGAGTAGTAGCAAAAATAATACACATGTGCGTTGCGCTGTTGGTGAAAAATGAGTGATAGGAATTTGGAGCAGCAGATTAACCTCTTGCCGTCCGCCCGTAGTAAAAAAACGGACGGACGGCACTGCTGCATCTGCGGGTTGCCGTCTCCAGACGGCAATTTTTTTCTGCTCGCGCGCGCCCCCTAGCGGGCACGCACGGGCAGAAAAGACCCGTCCAATGCGAACACCCGGTACCGGGTGTTTCACATATAGGCGATCAGCGGGTCCATAGCCCGCCGATCGCCTATATGGTGCTCGTTCGGGGATCCGCTGCCCCATCTTGGATCCCGGGACCGGCTCCGAGGGCGTCAGGAGGAGGAGGACGGATTTTGCCTGAAAATTGGCAAAAGTGCGTGAAACTTTTAGCTCTGTTACAACTAGGGATGCACCGATACCAGTATTTCGAGCACAAGTACCGATATTTTTTTTCCGGTACTCACCGAATAACGATACCGGAAGTCCCATTAAGGAAGCCAGGCGGCGTGCAATGACTCGCCACCTGGCTTCCTGATTAGCCGAGAAGCCGGGCGGCATGTAAAAACTCCCCACCAGGCTTCCCGATTAGCAGGGAAGCCGTCCCCATACTTCTCGTCACCTAGTGAGAGATGGCTTTATGGCCAATCAGGAAGCCGGCGCCATCTAATGATGCGCGGCCGGCTTCCTGATTGGGCAACTTCCCAACCAATCTGGAAGCCAGGCAGTGAGTCATTACACGCTGCCTGGCTTCCTGATTGGCCGGAAAGCTAGCTCCAAGCTCCCTCGTCACAGGTGACGAGGGAGCATGGAGGCGACTTCCCGGCCAATCAGGAAGCCAGGCAGCATGTAATAACTCACTGCCCGGCTTCCTGATACCGGAAGTATTGGCCTAGGCTCGCCCAAATACTCTGCACCGATACTAGTATCAGTATCTGTGCATCCCTAGTTACAACAGGCTATTGGTGAATATTCCATGAAGAAATCAAGTGTTTTTGAATGGCATGGGCAGATTAAGGAGGGGCGGGAAGATGTCCTTTAAGACCTGAAGCTCCTGTACATGATGCGTTAAGTGTTTGCGAGTTCCTGGCCCCGAAATCCATTCTGAAACTTGACCAACCACCTTATTCCCCTGACTTGGCACCCTGTGAATTTTGGCACAGATTTACTGACATTCTGAACATCCAGCAAGCTGCGACAAAGATATTGTGCAGCGTTTCAGAAAACAAATTCCAAGAATGTTTCCAGCAGTGGCAGTCATCTAGAAAAGTACGTCACTTCACAAGGGGACTACTTTGAAGCCGCTAGTAAGGATGCACCGATACCGTTTTTTTTCAGTATCGAGTGTGAGTACCGATATTTATTTATTTTTTTCGGTACTTGCTGATACCGAAAGTGCCATTAAGGAAGCCGGGCGGCGAGTCATTACCCTCCCCCCCCGGCTTCCTGATTGGCCAGGAGGCCAGCTCCATGCTCCCTCATCACCAAGTGATGAGGAAGCATAGAGCCGGCTTTCCAGTTCCAGTATTGGGATAAGTATCGGGAGCAAATACTTGGTATGGCACAAATACTGGTATCGGTGCATCCCTAGCCGCTAGTGTATAGGTAAGCAAATATATTTATTTTTTTAGTCCATTCCGGGAATTAAATATTCACACCTCCATATATGGGGGCTGTTCTACGTTGGGATAGTGGAATATGGGAGTCAGTTCACCAATTTAGAAACTCCAGAGATAAACCATACCAATGAACCTGGACAGTCTAACCCAGCTGATTTGACTCCCCGTCCCCACTTCTTGCCTTCAAGAAATACTGGTTGGGGTGTCTCCTGCAATCACATACTGCATATGGAACTTTCAGTTGTTACCAGACCTTACTGCAGCCAACAGTCATTCAATGCTTGTGGGAACCTAAAATATAAGATCACTTATAGATTAATTTGTCTAGAAGTACATCATCATCTGGGAGGTTAAGCCTGATTTATTGATATACCTCCCAAATGCCCCTCATTTGGAACCAAATCCCTTTATCTCTCTTTCCTCTTCAGTTGCACCTCTCTTTGGTCGGATGTACAGATATCTATGAAAATATACTATTTATCAAAAGTGTTATTCTGCATTAAAACAGTTATTTTCTCTTGAAGAAATCAGTATAAAGAAAAAGTAATGGTGAAAACAGACAATTCTAGGTTTAACCGATCATTTTTGGCATATAGTTTCTTAAAGGTTAGCATAACTGGGGACCTGGCAGAGGTGTGTCTATTGCCTAAATGCATTGGGGGGAATTTATGAATACTGGAGCAGTTGTCCAAAGTAACCAATTGGCTTCTCTCCTGAGTTTATTCAGTTAAACTTTGAAAATGAAAGATAAGATAGAAGCTAACTGGTTACTACGGGCAACTGTTTCAGAGTCGGTCTGCTGCAGTTTTGATAAATTCCCCTCATTGTGCCAGACAGTGTTCTTTCTCATTTTAGAAAGTTAGGAGGTATGTGATAATCAACCCACATGTGGGTACAACAAAGTTTATGGCAAACTGGTATCCTTTCAGATATTGAGAAGAATTCTGCTAGTTTTTGCTGTCAAAGTACCAACACCCCCCCCCTCCCCCCCAATTATATATAGATAAATACATAGGGGGGAATTTATCAAAGCTGGAGCAGACAGAATCTGGAGCAGTTGGCCATGGCAACCAATCAGCATCTCTCTTCCATTTGTTCTGGTAAGATTTGAAAATGAGACCGAGAAGCTGATTGGTTGCAGTGCAAATCTGCTCCAGTTTTGATAAACTCCCCCCCCCCTAATATTTTTTCTTTGAGTTGAGCTTAAAGTATAATTAAACACCTGTTGTTTTTTTTTTGTTGCATATATCTACTGCTAGTAAGCAGTAGATATATGCAAACACATTTAAAAAAATAAAAAAGTTACCAAAAAGGTGATTTACTTACCATTGTCACTGACGCTCGCTCCCGTCTGAAGATGTGGAGCTTCTCGAGCGGCCGAGCAGGATGATGGGGCGGGCGCATGCGCAGTACAGATCTTCGGTGGGAAGAAGGAGAAACACAGCAGAGGTGAATGCACACAGCCGTGAGCGTGCACATCTGACAGACACTGTGGGAGTCTGTGCTGTATCAGAGACCGACATCAGCGCTGGAGGGACTTCTCAATACAAGTGGAAGGAAAAAGTTGATCGGATGATGAGGCATCATTTATGGTAAGTCCTTAAACAACATTGAGGGGGACAAAAACATTTTTGACTTTAATGCCACTTTAATGCCATTTGTGCTCATCATAATTATTTCAGATAGTTTGATGTACTATTTTGTATGACATTACCTACCATACCAGAGCATTATCCTAACATTGTGGATACTCTGATTGTTCAGTGATTTGTAAGGTAAATTAACTGTTGGTAGATGTTCATATTATGTGAGAATAAATGGAAGCAATATAATGTTGTCCTCAGATAAGAAAAACTAAATCTTTAACAGGCTTCCTGCGAGCTTAAATACATTTTCTTAGCTTATATGATGAGCCTGTTTAGTAATCAATCACCTTTGAGACTTGAGGACTGTTTTAAGTGCAGAAATGCTTGGTAACAACCATACTCATAAGTTCTAGTTGCTAAGAAGGTCTTGCAGAAGTTACTTATGCAAACAAAGGGGTATCTGTGTCAAAGCACTCATTAGAATCCCATCTGCCATATAGTAGTTGGTAACTAAGCACATCGATGTCACCCTTAGCTGTAAACGGCCCCGCCATACTAAATGGGTAAACAAAAGAAAACTTAGCTTTGCTTTAGAATCTCATTAAATATCTTAATATCTTTTTAAATTCAAACCAGAATCCCTGAAGTAAATAGAAAAAAAAAAGCTAGTAATAACCTGCTAACATGCTAATTTTCCCCTTGGCAAGAATATGGAACAATCTGTACCAAGTTTAGTTTTAGCTAAAATAACTATGTAGCAAGTAGCTAATTTGCTCCTTTAGGGTGAAGCTGCTTATGCATTATACAGAATGCCAGCGGCCAACTCCATTTCTTTGCAGTAGCGTTTTTAAAACGAGGCAATATGTAGACTGTTCCTTTTTTTGACATGTCTTGCTTGCAGCATCCCCTCATTTTTAAGTTTTACCTAATTTCAGCTCATATGTATCTGTTCCCTAAAACAGCTCTGATGGAAATTCAGGAGAGTCACAGGCCCCTTAGGCTGTATGGTGTGTCTGTGAGTCAGGAAACTGTTCTTTGAAATGCATAGTACATTCTGCCATGCTCAGCCAGGCATAGAAAAAGCCTTCATGCTTCCAGATCACAGCACATCCGTTGTATCAGCTTTTCTCCAAAAATATATTGTGGAATATTTACTCAGCCATAATAGTTTGCAAGCCTTTGTATTTGACAAGATTACTTATTTTACAAAGTTATTTGCTCCACGTAATGATGACTTGGGAAATAATGTATTAACCCACTTAATGTGTTGTCTCGCCACACCTGTTTATAATCTGCTCTGTGAACTTCACAATGAAAAGTGCACATTTTATTTTAATCTCGTTTCCATTGTAAAACACGCACAACCTACATCTGAATCCAAGAATGTCAGCTGTATTCTGGTACCTTTCAATTAGCATTAGGCCCCTTTCACTTGGGCGTCTTCAGTTCAGTATAAAAAACTGAATAGTACCGAATCATTTTTCATCAGTTCACATAAGCTTTCTCATCAGTATTCAGTTAAGTTCATTTCCATTTATATCTTGTTTTTCATCCACTTACATCAATTTTTTTGTGTGTTTTCTTTTGGTTTGTTAAAGAAAGAAAGCTACTGCTACTTATCAGTGAGGGTTGCGCAGTTTGCAGTCACAGCCTGGAACACCTTTTGCCACAGCCTCTCCTTCTCCACCCTATTGCTGCATTGCCAGCAGGAAGTGTCCCACAGCCCTGGTCTGACATGGACCAAATTGAAAAAGTGTCATGAGAGGCATCCCTTGCCATGATTGTCGCACAAAATGGATGCAAAGAACATCATGTACCCCAAATGAATGTGGGAAGTAATAAAAATGGACATAAAGTGACAATGTCCGTTTTAATCTACTGAGAACTCGAATGTAAGGGGATGCAAACGGATGCATGTTCGTTTACATCTGCTCACCACTAGACATTAATAGGGAATTAATCTGGGTCCGATTAAAAAAAACGAACAGACTGATCCAGACTATATGCCCTTGTGAAAGGGGTCTTGCTTGTATTCCATTTATGAAGTCACTTGCTGATTTATTTCATATTACACCTTTTAATCATGATAAGCTAGCATTGCTGACTTTTCCTACTTGGCTTTCCTGTCTCCAGTGCTTTGAGTTACTAAAGTGGCACAAGCATGCACATGAAGCCAGACCTGATCCACGTTTATGTTCTGGTCAGTTACAATATTGATGCCAGGTCGGATGGTGTCGGCAAGAAGATTTTTGTAGGAGAACAGGTTAGCAACAGCAGCCTACATATATTTTTTTTTAGCACAAGCATCTTTACTCTCTGATCCAGATTGACTTGTTTGTTTTACCAGCCAAGCCCTTTACTCACCCCAATAAGCAAGTTTTTATAAATTGGGGTTAGTATTGTGTATTACAATCACTTTTATGTCACTAGTCACAAGTTTCAAACCCAGGTATCCTAGGACATGCCATCTCACACCACCATTTATTTCCTACAAGTGTCAGAATTTTGGAGTAAACCTTTTTGTTAGAGAAATATGGGGGTTGCTATTGGAGACCTCATTCTGTTGCTTGCTGCTATGTTAACTTTTGCCATTAATGCTTACTGAGTCACCGACCCAGAACAAGTATGATGTTATTGACTCGCAGTACTAATGCCAGAGTTAGTATGACAGCCAGGCAATAACATTTGGAGATTGAGGTATCAGCAAATGGCAGCTTCCATGTTTCTCCCAGGAAAGGTTTCCTTTGAAAGTATATAGTAAAAAACGCAATAGGAGGCCTATCTGATAACAGACATTCATGACTGACATAGTGGTTGGAAGAAGAGTGATAGGAAGCTCCCTTCTGCAGCTGTTGGCAGGGCACCATATGACAAATGATGCATAATAAGCCAGAGTGTTAAACTGTGTGTTATACAGGCAAGTAACCTAGCCTAGCTTTAAGCAAGTCTAGCTTTGAGGAGTCTATAGAATGTTTACTCAGTATTTTGTCCTTCTGGTTAATTCATGTTTTGTGATATTTTAGGATTGTTGCTGTTCTTTAGAGGCTTTGTCAATTACCTCAAGGTGCGAAACATGTCTGAAAGCATGGCGGCTGCTCATAGAACAAGATTTTTCTTCTTATACTAGAGGTAAGTCCCAGCTGTTGGGTGTACATTGACCCAAGAAAAGTTTTTTCATAACCATGACGAGGTTCCACTGGACAGTACCTGTCATATGAGATTACCACAGAGCATAACATTGTATGTATTGTCTGAAAAGAAGAATAAAAAATTGGATAAAAACTGCAGCTCAACCTGATCGGGATTCTGACAGTGTGTGTGTATGCATATGTGTAAATATAGAGATTATATATATATATATATATATATATATATATATACATTAT